GTTTTAATCGCGCGCGCCGATTTCGGCTGTTTCGCGCCGCAGTCGCGATAAAAGTGAGGTTATGTACGCAGTCACGGTCGGCCCGTCGTATTTTTAAAACACCTCCAACGTGTCTTCGCGATTTCGCTTGGTATTAATTAACTTTTGGCAGTCTCTTACGCGCGAGATGCGCGCTTTCTGTACGACGAGTATCCGTGTGTAGTTTCAGCGGCATTCGTAGTGGTGTAATTAAACCACGAAACTTGAGTCGACATCGTTCGCCGTGCGACGCTGCACATTGTGACTCGATGTATATCGTACCGAATGCCCGATGATAAATGTACGAAAGCATCGCGTGAATTTTATGTCACTATCGAATCGTGTATCTTCTTTCTCAACGTAAACGAGTCTTAATAAAAGATCTTAATCACCGCGTACCGCGTACGTGAGCACGAGCACACACTGTCTTCCAGTTGCATCTCTGTAACGGTATATTTCCAAACTGCAAATTCTACGAATAAAAATAAAAATATTCCCATATATCAAAGTTTGATATATTCCCTATATTAATATTTTTGAACGTGATATACTACGTAATCGTACTTATGGTTAATTATCGATTTGTCGATACTTTGGGCATAAAACGTGTAAATATAGATAGGCTTTCTAAGAGAAAAAATTTACTGTGAAAAGTATGAAAATTATAATAAGGTTCTATATTAATACGAAATTTTAAATGCGATATACTACGAAATCGTAATTATTATTGCCGATTTATCAATACTTTCAGCATAGAACGTGTGAACATAGATAGGCTTTCTAAGAGAAAAAAATTACTATGAAAAGTATGAAAATTATAATAAGGTTCTATATTAATACGAAATTTTAAACGCGATACACTACAAAATCGTAATTATTATTGCCGATTTATCAATACTTTAGGCATAGAACGTGTAAACCTAGATAGGTTTTCTAGGGGAAAAAAATTACAAAGAAAAATTTGAAAATTATAATAACGTTGTATAATAGTAGGAAATGTTAAATACGATATACTACAAAATCGTAATTATTATTGCCGATTTATCAACACTTTCGGCATAGAACGTGTAAACTTAGATAGGACTTCTAGGGGAAAAAAATTACCAAGAAAAATTTGAAAATTATAATAACGTTGTATATTAGTACGAAATGTTAAATACGATATACTACAAAATCGTACTTATCGTTAGTCGAGTTATCAATACTTCGGGCATAGAACGTGTGAACATAGATAGGCTTTCTAGAGGAAAAAAATTATTGTGAAAAATATGAAAATTATAATGACGTTGTATATTAGTATGAAATGTTAAATGCTTTATACTACAAAATCGTAATTATTATTAACCGATTTATCAATACTTTCGGCATAGAACGTGTAAACATAGATAGGCTTTCTAGGCAAAGAATAATTAAAAAGAAAAATAGGAAAATTATACAAAGTCTGTCTTTACTCAAAATTAGTTTGCGACGTTGCCGACGTTATCGAGCAATTCTCACTGCCATAATACCGAAATGACAAGGCAATGTCTGACATCGCGCGATCGAAGAGTAAGTTGCGAAGAGAATGAAATTACGTCGTGTGGAGAGGTAATAGTTTGCCGGAGAGTCCGATAGAGGGGTTTACTGTCGTTTTCTACGAAGATTCAGTTGACGCGGGGAAAATAAAGTAAACGGTTTAAGAGCATTGGCGTGGCAACGGAATTCCACGGAGCGCATCGTTGTAACAAGGTAGGCGGGATGATGCGAACGAAAGGAACGGTTCCACCCCGCGGCTCCGCCAGCGAGCCAATAACCCAGGCGAATTAAAGTGAACGGATAATGAACGTTCGCGACGTCATTGCTGCCGCCGGTGCTGCTGGTCACCTGTGTTCTGTAACACGAGATGCATTCGCATTACGCAACCCGTTGCAGCGGCTCACCACATGTATCTCGTACGCAACTGGGTTATTATTTACAACCCGCGGCGCTCTTCGGCGCTACTTTTAATACCCGCGTTTCCCCGTTTCCCCATTTCGTCGCCATAAATCCGCGACGCTAGAATGAAACAACGTCCCCGATACGACGCTTTGATTCCGCGCGCGAATTAACGGGCCGTTGTAAACACGGACTGTTTCAGGGCACTGATCAACGAGAAAGTTTATAGACTGTGGAAAGTGAAACCAGCTTCTTTGCTAAACCGATAACGCGGCCATTCATGCGAAATTACACGGCGTTTCCGGGTGATCGTGTGTTTACTCTCTTCTTGAGATTTGCATCCAGCCGGACGAAATATTAAAAGAATTAGGAGTTAGGAAGATCGTAGTGGACGAAACTTGGTAGAAACTTGGAAATTATTTTTGTACATCCAATTCTGTTTTTACACGAACTTCTTTTACACGATTTTGATTTAACACGAATTAGGACAAAAATTTAATTCTCTTTTTACACGACTTATTTTGATTTAACACGATCGACCCAAATTTTTGGCCTAGCCAAAACACAAACACAACGATTAATTACCGAATTCGTTCTTAAATCCACTGAAACATCGGCACCACAGGAGGCTAGTCCTAATTTTGTTCAAGAGATTACAGAAAGAATTTCACCAATGGAGCACGAAGACGATAACCAAGACATTTCTAGCGATAGCAGTAATATTGCAGTCTTACGCAAACGTATGCGTTTATTGTCAGAAAGTGATAACGAATAAAATCTTTTTACGTGTAACTCATATTATCTTGCCTAATTTTTGTGTGCATGAATTAGTGACATGTTTCTTTCCTTTTTAAATGATAATTTACTTTGTACGATACATGTGCAATCTTTATGAAATAAAATGTTTAAGATCCTAGCATGAAAACTCATGGTTTATTGTATTATTTTTGTCGATTTCTTGGGACTGGAACCAATCTTCTATTTTTCCATAGATGCGATATATTTTTTTACACGAATTTGTTTTACACGTATTCTTCGGGAACGTATCTATGGTGTAAGAACAGAATTAGGTGTATTCTTGTTTGGTTCTTGCTACCTCGTGAGATTCTAGAGAATAACAATTATTATTTATTATTATTTTGGGTATAGTTACTTATTCCGTTAAAATTAATAATTTTATTGATTATTGTCATTGTAGTATCATCGAAATAAATTATTTTACCGTATATAAGCATAATTAGTAATAGGGAAATTAATTTTTATTAGTTTAATCTGCTAATGGAGGAACAGAGAGAAATTTATTTAACGGTAGAATTATCAAATCAGATTTATCAAAAGAAATATAGTTAAAATTAATATTGACTACCTTGAAGTAGAAATATAATTACATATCTACACTTATTTTCAATATATCGTTTCAATTGCTATTATATAAAGTGTCGTTACGAGTATAATAATCGTGGTGGACGAAACTTGGTATAAACTTTGTATTCTTGTTTGGTTCTTGCTACCCTATGAAATTCTGAAGAGTAACAATCTGAATCATTATTTTAAGTATTGTTATTTATTCTGTTACTTTCAGACTTTCTTATTTGGAAAATTAATAATTTTATTGATCATTGTCATTGCAATGTCTGAATAAATTATTTCAATATATGTAAGCATAATTAGTAACGAGAAAATCAATTTTTATTAGTTTAACCCACTAGTGGAGGAACAATAAGATACATTTAACCGTAAAATTGCTATTTATTTATAAAATATTTATAAAAGAAATGTAGTTACATAAACATATTTATTTCCATCGTATTAATTTAATTAGACACACATTATGTCGTCCATAACCTAAAATTTGTACCCCTGGTTAAAATCGTCTAGGATTACCAAATCAGTCCAAACAATTGGTTTCATATTTCTTGAAGTTATACGATTGTTTTTTCTAAAATTGATATTAACTATCTTAAAATAAAAATATAATTACATATCCATCGTACCATTTTAATTATTATTATATATTACATTTAAGTTTCCATCGCAAGTTGATAATTTTAACGTTAATTATGTCGTCCATAACCTAAAATTCATACTCCCACTTGGGACAAACTATGTTTAATATTTATTGAGGTTATGTGGTTATTTCTGGCAAAATTAATATTCCCATTATACTATTCTACTTATCATTATACATTACATTTAAGTTCACGTCAAGTTCACGAGTCCATGATTTTAGCGCCAACCATATCGTCCATAACCTAAAATTTGTACTCTTATTTAACGTTGGGAAAAGAAATAAGCAATTCCGTAGTTCCAGGTGTCATTAACATAATGTACTGTGCATCGTAAAATCAGTGGAATGAGCATTCCCCGTTCTTTCTCCTTATACTCTTCAATTGCAACTGGTTCGAGTACACTACAACATTTTGTATGGAAATAAACGTTCCGTTACGCTAGAAAATCGTGTTCTTCGTGTACGCTGGCTTGGAAAGAGCTCGGCATTACCGTACACCCGTAATCCGATTAGCCGTGAGTTAATTATCCGACTATACTAGTTCATGGTGAAAAATAGGGAACATTCTCCGTCAAACGCAAATTAGAAAAGGAGATCACGCGGTGCAGCGTCTCGACGTTCTGTCAACCAAAGAAATATTATTACCATCTTGGAAAGAAGATAGAATCGTGAACCAGCTAGAGAGCACAATCTGTCCGGCGTAATTTGGTTCGACCACTAATTATCTCGTGTATGTTTTCCTTATCTGTCAGAAACGATCCACCGCATCCTGTGCTTTCAATTTGTACTGCTACTAATAGTAACCTCCGTCGGGTGGGGCCGTACACCGTAATCATGCGAAATTTATTTGCATACGATAAATCATGCAGAGATCGCGAACGATTAGGTTGCGTGCCACAAATTGAAATCCTGCAAACGTAACAGCGAATACCAGTCGCGAAACCTTTTTCTTCTACGCTTGCCTATGTACACGCAGCACGTGCAGTTCAAACGGTTTCTAGCCCTCTCGCGTCTGAATCCTGAAACCAATAATTAACGCGGGAATTCTCGTTTGTTCCAGGTTACCACAGCTTGCCGTTTTAGCGAAGATTTTGTGCCTCCTGATGGTAAGTGACATATTTATACGTTTAGTTTATCTATAATAAATTAAAAATTTATTTCCTGGTTATGTCACGTTATTATTATGCAATATTGGCATGATAATTACGTTATGTGATTACGTTCTATTATGGGAAATGTGAAGTTTAGGTTATAGAAGTTCAATAATTCAAAAATTATAAGTAAAGAATGATATAAGGGTGCCCCAAAATTCACGCAAGAAGCAATTTTGGTAGAAAACACAGGTTTTTAATTGAAAATTGTAAGTTTGAACATGCATTGTTTGTTCGTGTAGCGTTTCATTTTTAATAACCCTTAACTATCAGCTCTCACACTGTCTTTTTTTTCGTTGGCAACACTTTATCGCACAAATGGCGCCAAATTAAAATCTTACCTGAATTTTGAGACACCCTATATGTGAAAAGTATCAATGTAACATGTATATTAATTATATAAGTGGAAATCCATATTTTTCTATTTATTCAGTTCTATTTACTCATAAAAAGTTCAAAATTGGAAAGGCTCTCTTATATTATTCACAAAAAGAGTTAATAAATTGAAATATCGAAAATATTAAAATTTAATATCTCAAAAAATTATGAGTAAAAAATAAACTTTCTATATAGTTTATATAGTATCATAATATGTATATTAATTGCAAATATTAAGACTAGTAGTGTTTTATTTATTTAGTTCCATTTGTTCATAGAAAATCTTGTTAGGACACCCTTATATTACTAACAAAGAAAAATAATAATAACAATAATCATTAATTAAAATCTCATAAATAAAGTTTATAATTTAAATTATACTGCGTAGGTTTCCCACAAATGATTTTACATACTTGCAAATACTATAGCAAAATGTTGTTTGGCATATATATGATTGTATGGTGGTTATATGGAATTACATGTCACAATTTAGAAAGACTCTATAACAGTTTATTCGTTACTTACCTTGCAAAACATATAACTTAATTAATTATCAAAAGAAAATGAATAAAAGCAATTTTTATGTTCCAAAAAGTTATGTAATAAAATTTAACCAACTACTAATGAGAAGAATTCATGTTCAGAACATTAAATGACAATATATCGAAAATGAAAATACATAGCACATGACGTTTTTCCTCATAGCCACAAACATACAGGGTGTCCCTGAAAAATATATATAAAAGCAGGCATCAAATAATTCCTCATAAAAAACATATGTATAGAAATATGCAATAACTTTTCCTTGTATAAGCCTCAATTTTGAGAAAATCTAATTCGAAAATTCGTTTTATACTCTTTACAATTTTACAAGCACAACCTTATATAATATAACAAGGATGACAGTTTTAACAAATCCATAATTAAAATAACAAAATATAAGTGGGTATCAAATGTTTCCCCATAAGAAAATATGAATAAGAATATGCAATAACTTTTCTTTCTATAGGATTTAATTTTCGAGAAAATCAAATTTGAAAAATTCTTTTGTACTCCTTGTAATTTGACAAGCATAATTTTGTATATAACAAAATTGTTGGTTTTATAAGAACAACTCTGTAATTAAAATAATAAAATATCCTTGATAAAATATTTTCTTTTTTTCTTCAATATTGTATGAACAATATTCCTAAATGAGATGTTGTTAGTGGTGGATGAAATTTTAATAACAAGAAGAACAATTCTTTATTTAATTAGAAAGATTATAAAACACAAATATAACGTTTAAATATAATCAATTTCTCACAATTACTCAATCACAAGATTTCTCACTATTATAACACAATTGCAACTAACGTATCCGAAATCACTCGTTTTTTTCTTTCTTCTTCATACATTACATTGACATACACAATTCACACAACACCTCAATCATTTATAATAATAACTTGGATTCATTAGATATTGTAATCCCATGCATAATTGTTCCACTCATCCCAACACATATATACTTAAAAATCTATGTAACCACTACCACAGATGTGACAAATCCATATGTACAAAGTAATTGTTTAACGTCTATCTTCTCCTAAATTAAGCTCCAAACGAAAAAAGAGTGATTCTATATTTTCTCTCAAATATTTCTTTACACAGAGCCATCTGATACCCACGGTTGTGCATATCTTTCGGGAACACCCGGTAGTCGCCACGTTTACAGAAGACAAATGCGAAGCAGCGTAAAATAACATTTTACACTTGTGCTAGAAATCATTGCACACTAAATTACGCTTAAGACAGTTTTGAAGTATAGCAGCGCTAGCAGTGCTATCAATATTCCCGGGGCAAAAATCTGAACGGTAGGAATACGTAGCCGAAATATATCTGTATGTTATCTATGTATCCAGGAGAGATACGACCGTTCCAGTTCCCCACAATTACATTCAAAAAAGAATTCCCGCTGCCTCGAGTGTTTTCGCGTTATGTTCATAGTTTAAGGGAAATACGGCTGCCCCAGATACGTTGCTGCCTCTAACGAGCCGTGTAAAATTTGAACGAGGGCTTTGGCCACGTTCGTGCGGAATCCGTAAACTTGCATACTTATTCGACGGATACGTAAGCGGATACGTGCCAGGTCTTTGTATAGGATCGGTGACTAGGTCAGATCGGAGATACTCGTTGCACGAAGAGGCCAAGCTTCGGCAGAATCGCGTGCTAAAAGTCGATCTAGGGCTTTGCGAATCGGCAGTTGCGTTCGTACACGCGCCTACCGCGGCCCGGTGATCGATGCTGCGTAGTTACCCCACGCGTCCGCGGGAGGGCAACCCCGAGTTATTCGCAGTCTTGCTCGTCCACTCGGACTCTTTGTCTCGATTCGGTAGCCTTGCGCGAACCACGCGATCCAACGCGTGTGTACACATTTTCGCAGTAGCCGTATTTACCCTGCAATTTGGGTCTCCATTTCGCACGAAACGAGGCTATCTACATCTGTTCTCGTTTTAATGCTCTGTTTCTAGGCCCGAGCGCCGCGTTCAACTATGCAGCCAACTTTTCTTTCCATCCTTCCACCTTACAACTTTCGTACTTGAACTTCGGTCATCGTTTCAACTTTCAAGCCTGCTTTAGCGTCGTCGATAGGGGTCTTCGTGGCGCAAGCAGACTTTGATAAATTTGATTGCTTTATTAATTGAGCTCGTCGGCAGCTATTAACGAGCATCGATAACGGGTGAAAGAGTCAATTAATTATCGGAATTATCTCCCAAATGTGAATTTATATTCTTGGGGTTATTAACGGTCTTCTTCGTGAATAGAGTGCGATAGGATATACAATTATTAATTTTGTTTATTATTATTATAAAATTGTTAAATTGCAATATAACGTTCTTCTTCGTGAATCGAGTGCGATAGGATATACAATTATTAATTTTATTTATTATTATAATAAAATTGTTAAATTGCAATTTTGAAGATGCAATATTGTTCGATCTCGTGACAATGGAATTGCGAATGAAATATTTTATTGTAGCTGTAATTATGGAAATATTATATTTTTAATTCTTGCAGTCTTACGTAAATTTATTCGATTTTACATTCTTTTGGTTAGTCGGGATAATGATTATTTCATAATGTAAACATAATTTACGTATAGTAGGTTCGACAATGAAACGTATATATGAAGAGTTATACGTAATTAGAGTTTATGGAGTATCGGTTTATGAGTTATTATATTTACGAGTCATTATGAAAGTGGCATAAGGAAATTCAAAAGAATTTATCTCTTATTTTGGGTAGCATTCATTAACATCGCAATAAGATAAAACTATTTTTAGCAAAATAACAAAACACTGAACTGTTAGGTCGATCTTGTTAGCAGCTTCGTCGAAATTAATTTTTTCTTAATTTAATATATTCAGAGTGTGAAATTTAAATATTTTGAAACGAAGTGTACGTCCAAAACTTTAAAATCACTTATTCGTTAACGAGGAACGTGCATGTTTTAATTGAAAAAATACGAATCGGTACTTAAGCTATTAAATATTTAATAAATTTTAGTAATACATAATATATATATATTTAAAAATAATAAAATAACATAAAATTATTATTTTCGTTAAAAATTGTCTTTTTTATTTAATAGAAAAATATTTATGGAACTTTGACAATTAGCTGTCTAATTAATTAACAATGCAGTGAAGAAAATTCCATAATTCGTAGAATAACTCGAAACATATATCAATCCAACAGAAACTCCATAAAATACTATTGTTTGAAGATACAAAGATCAGTCATGACAGCTTCGAAAAGACATTCGCTTTATTATTAAAAACAAGAAACAATAATTACACCGATCTTTATTTTTCTATTTTCCCATAAAGCATTTAAAATTTAAAAGTGATTGGAAACTTTTGAACGATAGTGTATATGACTTAGGCTACTTTCATAATCACCGACACATTCGTGGCTGGCTAATACAATTTAATATTTCCCATGATATTCCAAACACATTGCGCAACAAATCGGCGTGTAACTTAACCCTTTGCACTCGAATATTTTCTCTCTATAAAGAGACAACAATTCGAAGCTTTTCTTATATTTTCCTAAACTCGGAAATTATAATTATAAATATTATGCTGAAACAAAGAAAGAAAATCACTCATACTTCATTGCCTCATAACCATTACGTAATTACTTGACTTCTAAGGTATTAAAACAAACGTTGATTTAGTATTCAAGGGGTTAAATACGACGACCTGAATTGTAACATAATTGTAACCTAACCTAACATAACCTAACCTAATAAGAACCAAGTTTGGCGCGCAGTTCGGTTCAATATTGATTATGATCTACGATCGATAGTGTGGGTGGAATGAATAATATTATTTAAGACTTATTTAAAGAGTAACTCAAAAAATATTTTTAAGTTAAAATATTTAAATAATAAATTATATTAACCCTTTGCACTCGACGATTTTTTGGCTAGAGAAAAGTAAAAATTCAAAGATTGTGTACTAAAAAATTGACGATACCTTTTTGGGCAATAATTCGTGGGTAGAGTGCACAATAATATCTAAGAGCTTTTT